CTCCTATAATATAATCTTCATACAAAACATGGGTATAATTTGATTGTCTCCAGAAGGAGCTGTGAAGATTTATTCTAGGTGGCTATGAAACTTTCCAGTACTCACATACTGGTTGTTCACAGAGACTTTTCCTCCTTAAGCTACTTACTGTCTCTCAAAGAAGAGCATTTGCTTGGGTTGATAGCTATCATTTTATAGAGCATAGAGTAATTAAGCAACTCAGTGGATCTTTTTCTAGGTATGAGGCGAGCTTTGCTAACTACCCTCTTTCGATTTTTCTGTCTTCTGCATGACTGACCTGTGGCTGTCTCTGTTACGTGAGGCATGGAGTCTTCTTTCATTCAACCACAGGAGAGGCCCTTAGAGCTGAGTACCTAGTGTGTCTGTCTTTGCCTTCTCAGAGGCATTTTCTTTGGAATCAGAAAATTTCTTATGGATCCTGACTGTCTTGGGCTTGCTCGAAACTTGGATTCTCTAAGGCATTGTTGTACAAGCAATTATTGATTTTAGTGACCACAGGAGTATTGCTTTCCTATGCAAGACCAGTTCAGATTCTGAGTTACTTTAAAGTTGAGCCCAACTGCAGAGAAGTGAAATGCATTCTCCCCGCATCTCTAAAGGTCTAGCAGAAAAGAAAAAAAATTCCTGGGCATCATACACTATCTAGGAATCTCAGAAAAAGGGAAATACTTTGGTCACAGCTAGGATTTCTAATAGCATATTTCCAACTGGAAAAAAAGAAAAAGAAAAAGAAGAAGGAAAGAGAAGAAAAAAGAAACAGACCTGTGCTGTGGCTGGGGAAAAACTTGGACTTGATCATGTTTCCTTTCTCCTGGGGATACTAGGGCTAGAGTAGGAGGTGGGGAAAAAGTGATGACTCCTTTCCCCAAATGTTAGGAAAACATTTCCCATAGGCAAATGAGATGGGTTTTATTGCAAGAATACAGGAGGATTTCAAGGAACCCAAAGTTAGAAGAAAAGGTTGCTGGACTTCTTGTAAGTAGGAATTTGGAACTGGAGAGTCACTATTCACTTCCTTAATTGCTCAGAAGTGCTTAGTCTCCAGAATAGGCTTCTGTTTACAAGTGTGTTCAGTCCCACTGTTTCCTCCAACATACTTTTTTGCTGCAGCTTGTAGGTGACCTTAAATGGCCATGCCAGTTTGAGAGACTACAGACCTTGTTTCTGAAGCACCAGGTGTTTCCTGGAAGCCATCTTGCTGTCTCATTCAGATCCCAGAGAGACAATCTGGCAGCCCCAACTCATCTGACCAAGTCGAGCCATACAAGTCATGGACTTCTGGTATCAAATAGATTGACAGCCCTAGAACCCAGGATCTATCCCTGTTCAATCATCTATGGAAGGAAAAAGAGAAAGAACCCTGTGATTTACAATATCATATAGCTTCTCTTAGCAGAAAATGTGTTCCGCATTTTCAAAACATTGCGAATACCAGAACATCCTTCGGTAAGAAACCAAGAGTTTTATCCCCAATTACCCATGAGGCTTTGAATTTAAATTTTACTGAGAGACACTCATTTAAACTAGTTTATATGTTAAGATGAATGACTGATAAATTATATTCTATCTGGTCTGGAAGCATTCCGTCATTCCTCAATTACTGAGTCCCTAATATGGTTACTCTGCTAGATTTGGGGGTTACAAATAAATACTTTTGGTAAAGAAAAGAGGAGAGAGGTTTTCTTTATATCCAAATTCTTGCAGGAAGGAAGTACCTGGAGAAGAAAAGGATGCAGAGAGAATATTGGGACGATAGCTTATTGCGTTTTTATCTGTAGTCAACAGAGCTTTTTTTCTCTCAAACTCCTCCCAGCCTGAAATTGAACAGCTCAAGTCAGTTATTGAACAGCTGTCCCAGACAAGGAAGACAGAATGCCTACCCTTACAAGCAAAAAAGAAGAACCAAATTCCATTCTGCATCTCCCCTCAAAAGACAGCACCAAATAGGGAGACAATGCAGCTGTTATCCAAACAGACTGTGGGTAAAAGCTGGAAGAGAGTTACAAAGTGCAGAGAGGGTTCAGGTGAAAGGCAGTGTGAGGCTTAGGGTGGGGGCATCAGCGCTGGGAAAATAAATGGTGGCCATCCTCAGAAAGCACCAGTTCACCCTGCTTGGTTGTAGCTTAGATTAGTGACATTCAACATTGTAACAAATAGCATGGCACTCGCACCTGCCAATCAGAGCTGATACTAGCCCCGCTGGAGCAGAATCTGGAGGCCCCTATGGCTCCAGGTATCAACTCTTTAGTTGCAAGATTATAGGCAGGTGGGGGAGGGGGAATTACCAATTAGTAAGAGTTTAACTACTGGGACTGCAGTGTGGTGCTTTTGGCTTAATACCCGGCCCTCCTGAAGAACCTTATGTGGAGACAAGACTGGAGATGTGGGTCTGGCTTGTGCTGTGGAGGGGCTTAAATACCAATGCTAAAGAGGATGTCCTTTACTCAGGAAGGAGTCAGGAGCCATCCAGCCCAAGGACATTGTTCAACAAATATTTCTTCAATTAATAATTAGTCAGTACACTTCTACAAGCTCTCAATAGCTGAGATGCTGTTTTCACTAAAGATATGGTGTCTGCCCTCTGGCAGCTGGACATCTAGAAGGAATTGGGAAGGGAGTGTCATGACCCCAAAGCATCACAGAACTGGAAAGCTGACAGGGACCTTAGTTATCGGAGGAGTGCTCTCCTCTCAGAGAGCGTAAGTGACTTGGCCAAGTACATGCAGCCGGTCACAGAGACAAGCCATCTCTTCCCCGTGGTGGCTGCAGAAACGGAAGATAACTCCAATCAGAGGCCAACATGGCAGTGAGGTGGCACAGGGGGGACAGAGGCACATCAAAAGGGGAGAAGGGTGCTGTATTCTCAGGAGCTGGGTTGGTTTCTTTTTTTCCTAGGGGGCACTGTTTCAGTTGACTTATTCCTGCTGAGTTAACTCCCTCTCTCACTCTTTTTCTGGCCTTGCCTGGGGTGGATTCTCGGCGTGGGCGGGAAGGTGCACCCCTGCGGCTTAGGAGGCTCATCTTCCCTGAGCGGAAGCAAGGAATCAGGCACCTCCTCCCAGTCGCCCCCACCGGCTCCGGTCCATCCCAGGCTTCCCTTAGCTCGCCAAGCCCGAGGGTTCTGAGGGGCGGACCCCGGGCCGGGCGTGGTCGGGACGCTGGCCGGTCCCCAGGTTCCGCGCAGCGCGCTGCGCGAGTCCGTGGCGGCCCATCCATCTCGGCAACCTGGACTGGCAGCGCCGCGCTCCGCTCGGAGGGCGCTAGGCGGCGGCGGCATCCCGAGCTGGGGAGGGTTGGGGGGAGCCGCAGCCCCCTCCGCGACGAGCAGGCGCGCGGCTGGCGAAAGCGCAGGGCTGCGGGCGCCTTTCTCTGGGCACGCACGATCCGCGCCGCGCGCTCACGGGGGACTGTATGCCTTCGGACCTTGGCAACCAGCAGTGCTGTGCGCCCCGCTTGAGAGCTGCTCCGATGGGGTCACCGGACGCCTTCTCCCCCCTTTCCTGGAGCCCGCGGGCTGAGCAATAAGCCAACCCCAGCCGGGCTCTGCGCTTCTATAAATAGCGCGTGTGTGCCCGCTTCGCGCTTTCCCGGCTGCGCGAGGAGAGAGAAAGTTGTGTGCAGGGACTTGGAGCGTGCGGCGAGGCAGGAGAGGACCCCGTCGGCCAGCTGAGCCACCGAGCGCCCGGCATCCTGGAACTGATCTTGCGAATTTGCGTTTTCCGTGCGGGGACCCGGGTAGCCGCTGGGAGCTGCCTACCAGGTTTAGGGGAATTTCTGACCAGGCGAAAGGGGGAGTCGCTGGCGTCCTGGCCATGAAGACAGTCTCGTGTTCTTCTCAGTCCGGGAAACACCTTCTGCCTCTGTAATTCGTCCCTGCCGCAAGCCAGGCTCCTACAGGATCGACACCCGCACCGCTTGGCAGCCGACACCCTTGTCGCTTCTCTCTCAGTCCCCTCTGCTTTTCCTGCTCTGTGGTTCTCCTGAGGGTGCTTGGGTTTAGGGTGAGAATTGATTAGTATCTTTTTACTTTGACGTGTGCATGTGAGGGTTTGGTGAGTTTTAGATGTCTAAGAACAAGAGTTGTCACAGGGGCCCCAGGCAGGTCTGATTCTTGGGCAGAGGAGGGTAAGGTAGTGGGTTCTGCATGAGCTCCTTAAAGCACAAAGGTAACAGAGCCAGAGAGGGAGCTCGAGGGGAGACTTTGACTTCAAACCACAGAATTGTTGGAAGTGTGCGCGCCACCGCCGCCGCCGCCGCCGCCG